GTGGTGCAGTGGTAGTGTCCCTACTCCTAGACCAGGAGACCCAAGTTCAAGAACCACCTGTTCCAGAGGTGTGTAATTACATTTCTGAACAGGATGATTAGTAAAAACAAATGGTCTCAGATACAACAGCTGATCAGTGTTATCTCAGTAAAAGCATGTAATTTATGTAAAGTTCATGGATCTTCTAGTGCAGCAACAAGGGCATAATAATTGACCCTGGAACCTGTTCCACTATCAGATTACAGCAAGGTAAATCTAGCTAGTTCCAGTAATCATATTCTAATCTTTCAGTCCTGGGTAGTTAACATTGAATTGTTTTATAAGTGGAGAAGTCTTGACCTACTCTTGTTTCTCTATACACACTCAATATGTGTAATGAATAGAATGTCAAGAGGACCACTGGAGTTGTTGGTCCACTTCATTATCTATATAGCTCCTTTTCCAGGTGTCAGTCTTTGCTCCGTTGAAATGGTCACTTCTGAGGTAATTGGGTTCCTGTCCTACTCCAGTGACTTGAGCACATAATAAACAGACTTGCATTCACGTAACAAACTCAATGTCCTATAGTAGTTTAGAACCTATTAAATATTTTTTGAAGTGTACTCAATACTATAATGTAGGAACCACAGCATTCAATCAGGGTGACACTTCAGTGCAGTGGCAAGGGTTTGATACACAGTAGAAGAGTATACTATCATGAAGTCCTGCTTAAAATTTCAGGTTGAAATATTCTATGGCATCTTTTTCAAAAGAACAGAAGGTAGATGTCCTGCTGTACTATTTATAAAGCCTTCAATCAACATCAATAAAACAGATTATCTAATCGTTACATCACTGCTATATGACCTTTGTGTGTGTATTTTCTTACAATAGTAAATGCACCTCAAACATACTTCATCCTGAAGATTTTAAACCATACATGTTTAACATAGTTGCAGATCATACAAGATAACACCTCAAACTTAAACAGAGGGCTGGTGAATATATCAAATAGAACATGTCATCAGGACTTGTTTGTACACGTTTTCTTTTCAACATAGCCTGAGCTTTTACGCAACACCTTTCCCCCCCAGAATTTATTGGAAGGGATCAATGACATTGACTGATTCCCATTTTCCTCTAATATAGCACAATGCAGGTCAAATAGCATTCCACTTATTAAAATAAAGATTGTGGAAATGCTGTGTAAAATGACTACAAGTAGAATTAAATCTCCTTTAAGCCTACTTCTCTCGGAGGAGAGCAATCCCAACTTCTTCAATCTATCCTCATAACTGAAGTTTCTCATTCCTGGAACATCATTCTTGTAAATCGATTTTGCAACCTGCAATGCATTCACACCTTTTCTTTAATGTGGTGCCCACACTATATGCAATACACCAGCTAAGGTCTAACAGGTGCTTTGCTCGAGTTCAACATCATCTTCCTGTTCTTGTACTCTATCCATCTATTAGTAAAGGGAGGGGTGTCACTTAGCTGGTTTGCAATGCAGTGTGTTACCAACAGTATGACTTCAATTTCTGAGATTTGATTGAGGTTTTGAAAACCGTGAGTGGGCTTATAGAGTAGATAGGGAGAGGTGTTCCTGCTTGTAGAAGGAATGAGAACAAGAGGGCCTGGATATAAAATGATATGAAAATGAAGCAAGGGTGATATGTGAAATAAAAAAAATTCATGCAAGAAGTTTAGATGTGGAATGCACTACCTGGAAGTGTGGCGGATGCAGGTTCCACTGAGACATTCAAAGTTACCATGAAGGTTCTCCTTCTCAATCTCTCCTCTTGTTGAGACATTGTGATCCTTATGTTAACCTAGCAGCAGTCATCTCTGTCTGATGAGAGCATGACCCTATGGACCTCTGGAATCACGGTTACATACTATGTTTTATTAATGCTCTCTCCACTTGCTCTGCCACCTTCGATGATCTGTGTACCACCTGACACATCTCTGCATTGAACGCCACTCTGCCATCCATCTGCTCATTCCACCAACTTGTCAATGTCCTTTTGGAGTTGCACACTGTCCTCCTTAGTTTACAATCCTTCCAATTTTCTTATCATCTGCAAACTTTGAAAGTGTCCTCTTCACACCAAGATCCAGATTAATACATATTAGGAAAATCAAGTGTCCCAATAAGGAAATCCACAACAACCTTCCTCCAGCCTGAAAAATATTCATTGGCCATTACTCTGATTCCTACCACTCAGTGAATTTAATACCACACATACAACTTTCCTCACAAGTTCACGGAGTGGCACTGTATCAGACACCTGAAAATCTACGTGTACCACATTAACAGCATTACCCTGATCCAGCCCGTTACCTCTTCAAAATAAAACTCCAGGAGATTAGAAAAATCATGAGTTCCCTTTTAGAAATCCACACCAACCCTTTCTATCAACCCAACTTTTCCCGTCTTGACTACCAACGCTATCCTGGACACTGAAGACCAGGCCTAAATCATTTCTCTCGGAAATAAATGTGCATGCTTTATCAAGCGCATCAGCAGCCTGGAAGATTATGAAAATGTCATGCCAAATATGAACTTGTCACATCAAAAGTAATTTTATACACAAGCACCTATGTCAACTTGGAGGTTCCATAATAACAGAATCGATCAAACCATGGCATATTTGTAATAAAGTGCACTAGTAAAGTTGATAATATCATTTCCACAAGTGGATGCAACAACATACATTTATCATGAGCTGATCTTCTGTGCATTACAATATGATTGGAGGGCAATTATATTGCTTAATGTAGTCATGATCCAAGTCATAGAATACGACATAGCAGACAGAAGTGCACAGAATTTTTCAACAAATACCATTAAACCTGAACAGATGGTTATGTTAAGCTTGAACCAAAATCACCATGGTCATAAATGTGATCAGTTTATACCGTTTGAAGATGCGCAAAGTTGCAACATTTATTAGTTACTGCTCAGAATACTCCATAAGAACTCAAAAATGGCCTGCTCGAGGATAACTAGGGATGGGCAACAAGTGATTGCTCAGTAAATGACATCCACATCTGTGAATGGTCAGCATAATTGTTCAGTTGTACAGGATTTTTAAAGTTTACTTAAACCAAAACATCAACGGGCATTCTCCTAAGTAACTACTCCTTACTACAGGACACCAGTGTTATTTTTTGTGGAATTTTGTTGTACCCAAAACTGCTCTCCTCCTTGACCACCCAACAAGAGAGTTCCTCACTAATTCTCCAGGTTCCTAAAGTTCTTCATAGTAAGGCTCCAAATAAAAGAAAGTCCTCTGTCAGCTATTAACAGGAAAAGACTAGGCAGATAAGTTATTTAAACGGGTATTGCTGGAGAAATTCAAAAGATCTGGCAATTTCTATGGAGAGAAAGCAGAGTTAACATTTTGAGTCCAGTGACCCTATTTCACAGAAGCTTCTGAAGGAGGGTCACCGCAATTGAAACATTAACTCTATTTATCTCCACAGTGGGCCAAAGACGAGTATAATAGGTCACAGATCAGCCATGATCTCACTGAATGTTGGAACAGGCTTGACAGCCTGAATGGTCTGCTCCTGTTTGTATGTTTCCAGCTGCATGCAACTAGGTTTGATTTGCAAATGGATTGCTGCACAAAGTATCTTGCATTCTACTCTTCTATTTGGTTTATTTGAAAAGATACTTAGTTTCCTTTAACACATCCATAAAATCAACACACAGAGGACCCTGCGCAACATTACCGAGAGCATGGTGGCATTAGACAATCGGCAACTCACTTAACATTGTTGCATCTTTTCTAGCAAAAGGTTGTGGGTATTTTAGCGACGTCAGGTATAATGTAAGCAGCACTGTTGACATGAAAGAGGTGGTGGCAACTCAAAATGCCAGTAGTCTTGATTAGCAACTTGTCAGCTAGCTCCTGTGTCAGAAGCTCTTGATAATCGACAAAAGTGTTTGCAAGAATGAATATAGCTATTCTAGCTTGGATACCCCAGAATTCTGCAAAACTCTTGCAAAAGGCTGGGAAACTAACCAGGACTTGGATGTGTCAAGTCCCAACATATACTACCAGTAGCTGCTGGGCTCACGTGAAAGGCTTCCAGCATACTGCAAAGGACCTGGCTGAGAACTTCACAATGAGCACTTCTGTGATTCTAACCTCTCTCGCCTTGAGTGGGCAGTCAGAGTGCTCAAGAATGGACTGTACCCTGGCTGACGTGGTGCCCTACTAGATCTCAAGTCACTGGTACTGCAGAAGATTCCAAAAAAATCAAATCCAAGATCAGTCTAAATGGAATAATCAATTTCTTCCCCTTCTTGTACTATGTAGGGTTGACCATTCAGACCCTCAAGACTGTTCCAGTATTCAATGAGGTCTTGGCTGAACCGTGACCTAACTACATATTCTTGTCTTTGGCCCATATCCCTTAATACTTTTGCTTAACAAAAACAAAAGTTACCAGGAATTTATGGCTATCGTAGCTATCAGCATGCATGCCTGGAGAAAAAACCACTCCCAATGGAGGTCAATTTAAACAAGTATAGAAGTGAAACATGGGCAAGTGTGTGGGTAGTCACCATGTCATCTACTTCTGATACAAAATGTGGCTTGTCTTAAACTACCACGCATCTTTGTAACACCGCCTGTATCACTGGCTTGATCATTAGCATCTGGTTATAAGGTACCCATTAGGTAAAACAGTCATTTGTAGGGAGAAAATCTGAAACTATTGCTGAACGTTTAGCATATTATGACTAAGAAAGGGATCAACTCTGTAAAAATATGAATTTTAGGGCTGAGAATGGGGTCAGCGTCATATTCAAGGTATATTCAAGTTAGTTGTCTCAAACTAGCAATTAGTTAAAGATCCAAAAATGTAAAAAATGTCATAACACCATATTAATCTAATCGTTTGCTACTCGGAGGACGGAAGACAAAATATGAATTACAGGTTGAACGATTACAAAGCTGTGGAGGTGTTTCAAACATAACTCCCGTCACATCCATTTCTAGGAACAGTTGTAGCAAAAGTGGTATGAATTTATTTCTTTTGAATATTACAAAACAGATTATATAAAACAAAAAACTGTCTGTACAGCCTTGATAAAAAACTGAATGCAGGCCAGTTTTTATAGCTACAGACTGCCTAGATTCAGATTCTGCATTCAAATCGGTCTCCACAGGAACTGTACAAACTGGGGAAACAGCCCAGCTTATTTGCCAAGCAATGAAACAGGGTGGGGTCACCTGTCAAGTATTTATATATTTTTCTTTCCACCAGCATTACATTTTTGTCTGGAATTTGAACATTTTCTGTGTAGTTGCCAGTTGATGTTCGACAAGTCCTTCTGCGCAAACTCTTCCTTTTTACTGTATCTCTCCGATGTACAGTCTTTTGTCACTGGATGCGGAAAGAACTGTTGGAAATAAAAATTGTAGATTTCAGTTAATTTAAAAATTTACCTCATGTTACAAGCAGTTAATAGTTAAATTAGAAAACTGCACCTACCCATCCTTATTCTGAAATATCCAATGCATTTGATTCACTAATGCCAATTACAGCAGTAGACAATAATAAGGCCGCAAGACTAATGCACCAAGTTCACTAATCAATAACCCATAGTCAATAGTGAAGTTCATGATTCCAGCAGAAACGCTGGTTAAGAGATGCCACTGGTAAAATGTCAAATACACCAAACACCAAGCTGAAACAACTCTATTTTTCAACAAATTTGATAACATGTTCATGTTCACTAGCTATATTACATCACAAAATATTCTGAAAGCACAAATGTGTCATGAATTAGCTATCTCAACTATGTTTATTAGTAACTGCAGCAGCACTTGGGAAATTTTAACTGAAAAGTTTTGTCAACAAATTCCAATCTTGAATTATAAATATGGAAAGAAAAAACCCCTAAGAGAAAGCATGCACTTATATAGCATTTCTCATGCTGAATTTTACCAAAACAGCTCATAGCCAATGAATGCTGCAAGTTCCCAAGAGTAAGAAGTGTCTAGATAGTCGATAATGGAAGCCATGACACCAGAAGAATTCTGTTCTGGTTGGAATACTGCCATGCAATATGCATAACCATGATTTAACGTGTCTGAAAAATGACACCTGCCACAACACAGTATTCTCTCAAAACTGCACTGAAGTGCCAGCCTAGATAATGTACTCAAGTTGGTAACGGCGATTGTAGATATTTTTAATCAACCTGTTCAGACGTGTTAGTAACACACCTCCAAAGCAGGTGGGACTTGAACCCTGGTCTTCTGGCTCAGAGGACATTCAACCTCCTCCTGTGGAGGTGAAGACAATCAATTACATCAAGTGGATGGAAACTAGATAAATGTGTGGTGTGGGGGGGGTGGGGATGGTACAGGGGGAAGAGAGAGAGGGAGACCATGTGAGAGCAAAAAAATAGGGAATCAGAAAAATCAGTGTAGTGTAAACCATGATGCCAACTTATGCAGTGCTTGTAAGGTCTTGCAAAAGGTCAGACTGAAGATTTGCTCAAACATGACTCATGGGCATAGCCAGGAATTCAGAGGTTTCCAGCATCTCTGGAATTGAGCTGGTAGCCAGTATCCTCGAGAGGAGATATTCCTGTTGTTATTCCGGCTGAAGCAGAAAGCCAGCCACAGCAAAGGAGAACATGTACTTTTAACAAATAAATTAGCTAAATTGTAATCACAATATAATTAATTTTGTAACTTGACATTAGAAAAAGACAACTGCAATTTTAAACCTTATTCTTTGAACAGCCATAAGTATTAAGTTTTTAAAAATATTAGGAAAACAGGAGACAGTGTCAGTATACAAGAAAGTTGAGAGTTTGAACCTCATATCTGACTTTACAGGACAATGTAGATTTGAGATACAGAGCTTTTACCTCAGCTCATTTCAACAACCTTCACCAGCTATGACAGCCTGCTCCTACCTCAATACCTCTTGCTCTATAAGCAGATACTACTCAGCTATTATATTTTTCTATAATCTTCCTGCATTGCTAACACCATCATTATTATTATAGGTTTGGTTTTTCAACTATATGCTTTTCTCCATCTATTAATACATTTCCTGTTTTTTGCTCTGCTGGTGATTTACTTGCCCCTTCTGTATCCCAAAGGATATGGGTGGCCGTATCTGCGCACAAAGAATATTACTGAAATGTACAAAAAGCAAAAACATTCTGGAAATTCATTATCAAATAAATCCATTTCTTCTAAGCGAAAATTATAGTTTAATATTTTGGGTGTTCTTTATATGCTCAATCACGTGAACATCGAACATCAAACATCAAAAGGTCTTAGCTTTCCCTTCATTAATTTCAAGTTAGCTATGCAATTCCAACCGTTTTTTTTTCTTAACACATTAGAATTACATACCTATTCTGGGTTTTACACTGTTAGCCACAATGAGACACTTACTAATTGGTTCTTCTGGATGAAATGACACCTCATTCACTGAACCTGCATGCCCTGGTAATTTATATAGTATTCTTCGTGATGTTGTATCCCAGACATAAACGAATCTGAAAGAAATTATGCAATCTCTTAGTGCTGATTTCTTTTATGTTTTTTCAAATAACCTTCAACAATTTCAATACGTGAAGTCCCTTTAACGTAGTAATACCTCCAAGGCACTTCTGTAACATAATACAATCCACTGATATGCATACAGCTGACAAAACTTATTCATTTTGGCTACATTATGTAGAGTGATTCTCCACCGCCTGCCACGTTCCTACCTTCTTTTAAAATGACCAGTTTTAGAATGTGAAGATTGTTGGCACAACACATGCTCCCAGTTTATTAACAGTTCTGACATCAGGTTAAGTTGTTGTAGCATTAAGTTAACACCATCTTGCAATGATTAAATTTAAAAGTTCCATAGAATTGGAGTTTAAACAATATCCTGATATTTAATAAAGGTGGTGGATTCAAATACAGTTAAACTACACTCGCTCCTAGTCATCTAAAGATTTATTACCCGTGAATTCATGTATTTGTGAGGTTAGCGCCAGACCCCATTTTCTCCCCCTCAGTCTGTCCAGTCTGATTACACAGTCCTTCGTGGCAGATAGGAGAGTTATGCAATAGTGGTATCTGAATTTTCTGTTATCCACAGGAAATCTGTGCCCCTATCCCCTGCAGAAAACAAGGATTTGTTGTACTAAATTGGAAGGTGTCCGAGGGAGTCTGTGTTCAAAGATATACAGCATGCAGAGATAACAAGGTGTA